CAAGCTGTAAAAGTAAATCCTATATAACATGGAAGGTGGTACTAGCAGTACCACCCCTGGCAGCTTACCCACTGAAACTCAGCAGGTGTGAGCCTGTTCAGTACCATGAATTAGAGGTATTTAAGGGGCCAGGAGTTGGTCTGTATGGGTCTTACTGCCCCAGTGTAGCGACAGGGACACTATACTGTAAAAAGGCGCTGTCCTTCGGATGAGACGTAAAACCAAGGTCCCAACTCTCTATGGTTAATAAAAACCCCAGGACGTTTCTAGGAAAGAATAGGGGTGTAATCCTGGCCAAATTTCCCATTGGCCCTCGCCAATCATGGCTTCCTAATAATCCTCATCTATGAACTGGCTTCATCACTCTGTTATCCTCCCCACTGAGAGCTGGTGTTTGGGGAGGGTACTGTCTCACTATGGCTGCCGTCGCATCATCCAGGTGGGGCTGCACACTTGTGGTGGTGGAGGGGATCCCCATTACCTGTAAAGCGCTTTGAGTGGAGTGTCCAGAGAAGCACTACAGAAGTGTAAGGAATTATAATTATTAGTGTCAATAGTACTGTTTCCATGTTAAATACAAATCTCTATATTGGTCTAAGAAAATTACAGCTTGCTTTCTGAATGCTTTTTGAATTTTGTAAGTTTTATGTATTCTTGTTTTTATTTTACAGATCCACTCCTTACAGCTGACATACTCAGCTTCCAAAATCCTATATTGTAAAAATGAAGATGCTATCACTGATATCACTAGATAGATGACATAATTTAATCAATAAAAGTGATGGCTTTATACAATTAAAAACTTTAACTCCATCATATACAGTACAACCCTCACTAGAGAGACCACCTCAAAAGAGATTTCACATAAGCATACAATGAAGACTGCAGTGTTAGAGCTGATAAAGGAATGCATGGCAGTCAGCTTCACAAAAGACATCTGAATATCAATCAGAATGGATGCATATATGACCATTCTGATCAGAGATAACTCGAGAGTTGAAAACTACATGCTCTAAACAAGGAGCTGGCAGAAGGGTATTTTGCAAGTCATTCCAGTGTGAGGCTAGGCAAAGGGGTCAATGTCTATTAGATCTTCCTGTAAAAACAGAAGGCAGCAGTTTGTGACAATAGAGCTAACATGATTATGCACTGAAGTATGTTGAACAGTGAAGCCTTGAGACAGCATATTGTGGCATACACTGTATGTTCAGTAATGTGACCTCGGTTTTATCATAATTAAGATGGAAAAACTATGATACAGCATCCGAGTGTTTACATAAGTACAATGAGAGAATACTTAAACATTTATCTCAGATTTAGTATGGACGGAATCTTTAGCTTAGAAATTATAATTCAGACCATTTCAGTATTTAACAAAGAGGAAACAATTTCAATACTGAATATCAGGGGTGCAGTACTGAGCTCTGGTGAACACCCAGTCTAACCAATCTGACCTTGAAACTTTCACAATAAGAGCTTTAGTCACCTTTAATTGTCTACAGCCAGACTAAAGGGGATCAAAAGTTTCATTTACAGTACAGTGAGATAAATATTTATTTCCACTACAAAGGAAACTTTTAAAATCACTGCATGAAAAGGTAACGCACATCAAATTATTTACATTATCCAAAGCCTTATTACTTTTCTTGGGCACTGGCATCACTACAGCAGTTTTCAAAGCTTCAGGAGTCACTTACTATGTTCGGCACCAAGGGCAAAAAAAAAGTAATGAAACAGGAGATAAACAACACAAAAGGAATGGGAGCCGACAAACAATGTGGGGTCCATGTATGATGCCAAGGCAGTAAAGCATGCAGGAGTAGGAGTAGGCTGCCTGAAGTGAGAAACTAAGGAGAGGCATGAAAGTCAGGTACTGAGAGGCTGCAGTGCATGGAAAGAGGCGAGAATGTTATGACAAATGATATCAAGCTTGTAAAGAATTCCAGACGGCTTCTGCATAATTGAGATGAAACAGGTCATGTGACAGGGCAATTAGGCTTTAGCAACAGATTAAAGGCAAAACTGGTATCTAGGATTATTTTGGTAATTTTCTATATCTGAATAAAATGCTGGATCTGGCATGTACTATATTACCCCTATATTCAGCAAGGTACACCTTTCATGACTGAAAATGTACACGCCAATCAGAAAATCACAACCTATGCTCTAGTTTACAAGAAACTACCTGAACAGAATGCATCTGGTCAGTATAGCATGAAGTATGAGAGACAAAGTGAGGCTTTACAGGGGCCACAGCAAGTACATGTAGTAAGGACCTTTGAAAAAGCTAGAAACTGAAGAAATAGCAAAATCAGCAAACGTAACAAGGGGGACTGATTGCCAATTGCAAAAGCTTGCAGACCGTAAAGGCATAAATTGAGAGACAGGAAACTCCAAATCGAAAAGAAAAGCCCTGTGATCAGGAAGACCCCAGTCAAGATTAGTTGGATGGCAGACAAAAGAGCTATTAGCAAATACTAAATCCAAGATGTGATCTTTATTATGAACTGTAAATCAAAAATGGCAGAAATTACAATGCCAGACTGGATAAAAAGTGGATATTAAATATCACTCAGAATTACAGTTTTGTTCAATTTTAAAACGTAACAAAGATGCCACATGGCAAATCTTCAGCATTTTGCATTTTATTCTGAGAATGCACATCTTTCTTTAAGGTATAAATTGCAACATCATATTTCTCTTAAGAGTCACTTAAGAGTGGAGCTGCACTGTGATGTACTATATCATGCCACAGGGCTGGAAGTCACATTCTAACAATCAAGTGCTATCAATGCAGGGCAAGGCAGCTGAAGACAGGGCTTTGAATACCCAGATGAGGTACTGATCAAATGGATGTTAAAGATCTAAAGATACATTAGGGAAAGGTCTGAGCCTAGTTAGAGCAGTATAATGCTGAAATAGGTCATGAAGCATTCTTGTTTACGTTACAAATAGCATATACTGTACAACTGTCATTCATATTCATGTTACTGTATAATGTACTCAAAAATATTTTAGGGTATGCAGTAAACCTTTAAAAAAAAACTTAAAAACAGCTTTCCCAGCTGTCCAACATGTTATCCAAACTTGTAACATCTCAGATGTAAACTTTTTATCTTACAATTGTTGTCATAAAACAGTCTTCAGACAGTTATGACTTCAGCACTATTAACCTTGCCACATATGATATGATGCCAGCCACAATCTGAGGTTCAGTCATTAAAAAAAAAACTTTCACTGCCACGGGCTATTTTAAATATGTCTGAATTCTGTGCCCTCACCTTGAGTGTTAATTTGTGGATTGAAGCAGCTTTAAGCAAACATATCTTATTTGTACGTGGTGAAATTACTAACCTACACCTTTTGTGCTTCCAGAATGAACATTCAGATCATCAAAATGGTAGAATCCGGAGAATCCAAGCAGAGGAACAGCAAATTACAGAAATTACAATTTTGTTAAATTTAAAACTCAACAAGGATAAAATTGCAAATGTTAAGCCATTAAATGTTTTAATTTCTACCTCGTATAATTGTCATTCCTTGAATATGAAAGCATGTTTTTCATATTACCACAGAATTACACTGATCTGTATTCAGAGTTTGAACACTACACTAATTCATGACATGTTCCTTTTACCTTGTAAATAAAGAAGCAGACAATTGTCAAACAAATCTTTAGCAATGCCTATTTAAGAGTGACTTACTGTAAACAGTCTAAAATGTTTTTACCGATAGGGTAACACTAGGAATTTGTTTGTCCTCTCAGCTATACAGAGTCACTCAGTACAATCTGCTTTGCAGGCACGCTTACACACTAGACACTTTTAGAGATCATTATTTGCCATCTGCCCAGGTGGCTCTGGGCACATGGTGAACTGCCTGGGCAATTGATGAAATTAGGTAAAATGAGAGAGAACTTCAGCATCGGCCCACAATTGCTGGGCACCTTGCCAGCTACCTGGGCATTTTAGCCACTGGCTGACTTTGGCATGTGTCTGCAACATATAATATACTGTGTAATATGCGCACTGCCTGTTAAAAATAAACATTATTTAAAAGTGTTTTTCCAAACAATTTCAAGCTCTGTACCAAACACAAATGTAATTAAATGGCTAAAATATACATTAGTTACGTGAGTATATAAAACAAGTACAACAGCTACTACTTACTCCAAAATTAAGTACTAATTGATGTTCAGCTGTCAGTGTTTAAAACGTTTTCATGACTGATGATGAACATTGCAAATATTGAACTCAAAATAATGATAAACTACATAAACCTATTGATGCAGACAAAAAAAATTTAGGAACATTTCACAATATTAAAGCTGGAATATGCAAATAAAATTTGTAAAGGGACTAAGCAGAAACAGATCTATAAAAGAAAAGGGAAATAATGATGGAGAGGCATTTTTCTCTTTACCATTAGGGGATGTGCTATATGCCAAATTGTAACTGAAAGCATTACTAAGTGCAGTTCAAGCTTAAGTCACCTGGAGTGGAAATTAATAATTGAAAAAAAATATATAAGAGCTTATTTTCCCTGCCATTTACTTGTGACAACAATATGATTCATCATGTACATTTTATCATATTAATGACCATTTGCGCCTGATACCTTAAGAACCTACAGAAAGGCTTACAAAAAAGAAAGTAAGCTCTTTTTCTGAAATCCACACATCTGGCATGGCTTGGCTTCCTGTTCTAACGCTTAAGCTGTGCAACAGAACAAGGTACTTTATAGTACAAATATCGCAAATAAGCTTTTCTTAATTCTGCCTTAATCCAGCTACCGCCTGCAACAGTATCCTTTTGGCTGAGTGACAAAGAATAAAAAGAAGCACTCCCATTATCAGATAAGAGTTCTGAACCAGTAAAAGTATTCCATAGGCAGCACAAGTAGGCAATGAAAAAAGCTCTGTAATAGAAATGCCACATCCAATTAATCTGAAATAAGCCTGGAAGGTCCCCTTGAAAAAGAAAAAAAAACATTTTTTTTACCTTTTGTTGCAAGTCTGAGACACTGGGTTTTTGTTTCCTGCAAAAGAAATACAAGGAAAATGCATCTGTGAATCTTTAGGCACAAAAGCTTTTATGTTTTCTCTTAAAAGCAAAAGGAATTTGACAAATGTAATATTGTAGAGCTCGCCTGGCCTTCATACATTCAATAGATACATATAACAATCAATCTGCAAGGGCAGCAACAATCAGCATTTTAATAGAAAACTGATGCACAATAAACACATCTCAAAAAGTCTAACCACTTTTCATCAGAACAGATGTCAACTGTGATAATGTGAAAAACGTTACGTTCCATGTAACAGTATGAAGATGAATATTTGATCCTCACTATCTACATATGAACTGTGATAGATATAAATTGATTAAATCAGCAAAAATACTAATACAACTGGCACAGGTGCCAAACATACACCCATAAGAAGGGTCCAGCCCATTACGTTTATTTGTCGGACCAAGCTAGAGCCACCAGCTAGGATTTGATTTGCATTTTGTCTGAGCTTGCATAGCCGACAATAACTCCCCATCCAAATCCTGGAGCAACCTCAGCAACTGAGCCCCATGTGTCTCACTGAAACTGTCCTTGTGTTTTCATATAAGGGTATGTCTGATCATAGTAATAAGGGCTTTGAAACTCTGCTATCAAAAAAGAAAATGTGTCAAGAGAAGATGTCTATTTTATATTGCAGAGTATAAATGAATGCAAAGCCAACATGCTTGATTTGTGCAATAGGTAGCTGTTCCTAAAGAGCAAAAGCACTAGTCATACAAGTCAGTATGGTGTGGATTTCATATATGTTATCTAGCAAATAATTGTAAGTAATTTGTTGACAGTTTCCCTTTAACCTTGAGTTTTGTGGATTCTGTTTCCCATTTAAAAACACAATTCTGAAATAATCGTGGAACAAGACAAGCTGCTTCTCATTCATCATTTATCAGGGTGCTGTTATTCTTATTTGTCACTCTAGAGTTTAATTTGATTACCAACAGATCAATATATAACCACCCTTCAGCTTGCAAATGTAATTAGTTCCTCAAAAACTATTTGTAATGCAAGAATTTTGAAAACAAATTAAAAGTCCATTTATAAATACGCAAAAGCTAATATATGAAGAGGTCTATAAAATCACCCAATATTACTTATTTACCTTACTGTTTTTTAAAACAAGAACATCATTACATGTTTATAATAATTAGCCCATTTAACTCAGTACTGAAGTTTACATGACAGTCATAGTGCAGCTAAGTTCAAGACAATCCAAATGTATTTCATCACTCCCTTCTCTCAATCCTATCACTTCCAAGTTTTGCAGCCAGGGAAAATGCTTTCCTTACTTTCTTTGGCTTTCGATTGCTGGAAGCACTGGTGATTCCTTTTGCCAAGATGAGGTTAAATGTCAGGAGCGTGTTCAATGATAAAAACCATGTAAGCAAGATCATATGAGAGGTGGCTATAAAATGAAGCATCTCTGTTGTTACAAAATTTGCTGCATAAAATTATAAAACAGGTATTAAAATACACACTTCATTGCAGCAAGAATTTGTATAATTCTAGCATATAGCAAAGCATGTACAACCTTGCTTATTTTACCAGTTATTGAACAAGATACCCAAACAATATTCTCTTAAAAATAATGGAGATTTGTGCAGTGTATACTAATCACACCTACGGTATTATTTTTAAAATCATCATAGATAAATATTCCATACCCAGAGAGCAAGTACGTTTTGCTAGACTGTCATCTAGTAAAGACACAATGACTGTTAAATGCATTTCAATGAAGGGCATTTTCTTGCAAAATAAATACTAAAAATTGAAAACACTGCAAATAAATACTATATAATGTTTATGCTTAGCATTTTGATGATTAATTAATTAATTGTATGTGGCCTGCAGGAAGTACATTTAAATCAAATCTATCCTGCCACAGCAAATGGGTTTAACACCACACTGGTTAGGTTATTGGTCAGGTTATTAACACTTTTGTAAAGCTCTGTTAATCTATTACAGGTTATAAAAATATGAGTGCAATTTGGATCCTCTGAACTAAAATATTACTGTGTTACCTAACGTTCTGGCAGACAAAGACACTGAAAACAGCAGGAGGCCTGGGTAGGATAGGGCTGTAAACCAGAAGCTCTTTTCCCACCATTTAGTTTCCTGCTGTGTGTCTTGTGCATAACATATCTGCAGTGCTGAAAGCAATCAAATGTAATCACTGTGGTGAAGGAGTGCAAATGCAAAAAATGGAATAATTGATCAATTAACCAAATGACCATTTATACAGAAGAAAGTTACTGGCAGTTTACTTACAGCATCAATGTTGCAACCTAAACTAAGATGTAAAGATGTAAAAACCCAACCTAAGATGTGCAATTCACTCCTAGTCTTGAACAAAAACTACATTTTATATTTTCAGGAAGAAAATGATAAAGAAATTGAAATTCTCATTTCAAACAGTATTTTGACAAACTTTCATATTCAGAGTGCCTAAAGCTTAGAATTAATGAGGATTTCACATTGTTTATTGTACAAGACTAATCTTCCCCTAAGAAGTCAATTTCCAACTACCTATATTATTACATATATATTGATATCTAAGTAAAGCCACTTTCAATAAGGGCAATAAAATGTATAGAACATTATTTTTTTACAAAACATATCAACATACAGCCTTTAGAATTTCTTTTCCATTGCACAGGAGAAAGGATTAAACCCTTTGATGTAAACTTTTATAGAACTAAAATATGCATTGTTACAGGCAAACCAAAAAGCTACATTATCCGGTAAAGCTGTATTGTATCATTTCCAGAAAAAGGAATCAGAGTATGATTTATGTGATGGAGTTGTCGTTTAGGGATGCTGTATCACAATATTTATCATTATTAGGAGATACTGACTATTTGGATTCAATACCAGAAATGTACCAGCAGTCAGACAAAGAATTTATTCACATTTTTCAAAGAAAACGGGGAAAAAATATTACTGAGGCTTTCATATCCAACACAAACACCAACCACAATCCAAAAAGCCTTACAGGAATACAGTATTAAGGAAGTCCTAATAGTATGTGATTTTAACTGCAGTTTCTTGGCAGGACTCCAAGAAAACTCTGTTTCCAGAGAAGTGGAATTATAGGATCGAATAGGACAGGCAAGTGCAGCACAGCAAAATCTTCCACAGACTGATTAGGTGCCTTTAAAATGCAATACTAAAGCAAAACGTATGAGAACTCAGGTTTTACTTCTAAATAAAGACTTAAGTCGAAAATTGCTGCACAGCTTTTGCATTGTACCAAAAACAATCACTGCTGATGTAAAAAGGTAATAGGGAATAATGCATGTCAAAATGGACAAAAATATATTTTTTTCAAATCTG